TCTAGTTGGGCAAATTATGTAATACATGTAGACCACCCCTCTTGCCAGATTTAATTATAATAATGTAAATTTATACTGTGCCATGTCTGTCAGAACTAGACACTCCTGACGCAAAATTACAGGAGGTGAAACAATACTATGCAGTGGTTGGCAAAAAATAGTAAGATAATAAAAAGAGATGTATCAAGTACAATATATGTAAATGTGCCCAGCAGTAAATCATGGAAAAGGTAAGTAAGATGTCAAGGCCTAATTGTGTTGGAAACCACTAAAAGCCTCAAGAACTTATAAAGTAATTGCAAAACACAACCACACCCAAATATGAATTCATGTATTAATTGACGGGTTGAATTTCTTCTCTTCGCAGGTATCACAGCAGAAGCTATCGTAGTCAGTTCATTTGACGAGCTGAAAAAACGGGCCAGTGAGGTGAGCCCTCTATTCAGAGCCAACATTATTTCACCAAAGAAGTGATGGAATGAGTCACGTGGAAAATGATTTCTTTTTTTAAATGTACAGTTTAAGGGAGAATTTTTTTCTTTGGAAACAAGTGTAATCATTAAATAGGTTGGCAAATAAATGTGTTTGTGGCATCCTTCATGCAAACAATAAAGTTTGTTTTATGTCCTCTTTAGCTCTTTCAGAATTCACTTTTTTGTTGTTTTTTTGTTTTTTAATTCCAATCCTGTGTTTTCTTTTTTAAAATTCCTTTCTTGTGTAATGTGCTCTTGATAGATCTTGATTTTTGTTTGAAATGTTTTTGTACATGTATGTATTGTTATTAATTGTAGCATTATTTCTTTTACATGCTGAAGTAAAAGTGTAAGAAAATTTTGAACTTAAGTTGTACAAGTGTAAGTCAACCTTTGGTATGCACAACTGTACAAATGTCATTTATATGAAAAAGTAATCAACTGCGGGCCCTAGTGCAGGATCATGTATATTGTGTACGATGAAGACTGCTGAGTCAAAGAGAATGATCTTTGTGATGGCCCTCATATGTGAACAGGTTCCTGGTAAGATTGTTGTCTTCAACCAGCCGTGGGTGAATTACGGCGTGTCCGTTGCCTACAGAGACTTTGCCGCTGTCAACACAGCCAAATTAGGTGGTGTGGCTAGTCTGGTGCGTTCCATTGCTGCCTTCTCCATCCATAGCCCTCACACTGGTTGGCAGGTAAGGACAGTCGTGAACTTCTAAGTTCCAGGACATGTATATGTACATATGTAGGTTCAGCTGCTTGCATTTTTCTTCCCAGCTCACGGACCTAAGGTACCTTGAATCCGACTTGGGGTAATCCTTCGGACAGAGGAGGCAGTGATTCTACATGTTTTTTCTTCAATTTATTAAGAAGACTTTATTTTTGATCGATTTTTTAAACTTAAGCTGATACATGTTTTGGAGGAAAGAAAACAAGAAAGATTCCCTTTATAGCTTGGAAGGGAGGGAGCGGAGACTCTGGAAATAAGTTGAGACTTTAATGAGCTACCCCGTCCCTGCTGACTAAATGTTTGAATATTAAAGGTTTAGAATTGTCAGATATCTCTTAGAAACACTTGTAGGACTTGCAGGCTGCATAAGTGTAAAATCATGGCAAAGATAAACCAGATAGCAAGTGTAGGGCGTAGTGTTTGTGTGAACCACTGAACCCAAAACCTTATAGATTCCCTTAATAATAGTTCAAACGCCGGACATGAAGCTTTGGAAAGCAGAAAATCAGCGCAGTTTCTTTTCTGTTTCACACAGGACTATTCTGACTCCATTAAGAAAATTCCAACTGCATGCATAGCTGTGGAGGATGCAGAAATGTTAGCAAGAATGGCAGCCAGAGGTGTGAATACAACTTATTCTGACATGGGTCTTGGGGGCAAAGGCTGCTAATGACATCGATGAAGATGTCAAATTTTCTCAAAATCTAAAATTTTAAGACCTTTTACGTTGTTCATTCATTTACTACCAAGAACTTACTCAAGCAGTGATGCTTCCTCTGTTGTTTCTCAATTTTTTTTTCCTCACTATTTTGGAAGTAATGTAAATCTTCACCTCACCTTGCTCTGTGTGTTTTGTGTATGTGTGGCCATGTCAAATAGGCATGTGATCTTGCAATGTGTGTGTGTAGGAGTTCTGGAGAACGGACTACATTCTTACCACTGTTGTACTAATTTAATTCATAAAGTTCCCGTGGCAGCCCAAACCAACCTGCTTGTTACTATCTAGTCTGCTCCAAACCACCCCCATCTAATGGTGTGAATGTAAAGATTTATCAAGGAGTAATTACAATGTAACACATGTGCTAAAAATTTAACAAACAAAAATAGTTGATGATTTGACTCTACAAAAATCTCTTCGAGAGCTGCCCTCTGATCGGAACTTAGAGAGCTGAAGAGAGAAAAAGTCTAAGTGGCAAAGAAGGTACATGTGTTCATTGCCACTGTGACATCTAAAGCTGTAATTCAGTGACACCTCTGATATCACCCACAGGCACAAAGATAGTGATACAATTGAAGATGGAAGCAAAGACATACAGTCAAACAATATCACGTAACACTGTAGCTGAAGTCGTGGGCAGTGTGCATCCTGAAGAGGTATGAATGTACATGTACTATTCTTGTCTCCAAACCATACTGTGTGCTCCTGTTTTGGCTATTCATGCCGCTATGTCTTGCCTCCTTTAAAGATCTGTGGTACAGTACACTTTCAATATGTTCTGCCTCTCTCTGATTATTATTTTTTTTCTTTTTTAGTTTAATTTCTTGAAATTGGTCATATCTTGAAAATAATCAGGCTGTAGTGTCTTGAAATGGGAAGAAATGGGAAAGCTGAAGTGCTTTTTGGATCAAAGATTTAGACATCATCATCACTATATATCTTGTCCACTGATGTTACTAGGTTGTGTTAGTGTCAGGCCATCTAGACAGTTGGGATGTGGGCCAGGGAGCGATGGATGATGGAGGCGGAGCTTTCATCTCCTGGCAGGCAAGTTCATGCATATTTATGATTGTGACTGTACAATTATCAAATTACAGACATCACTTAGAAAACAACAAAAATATCTGACACAATGTGAAGTGACATGTATATTTAGTGACATACAGTAGGGAAAAAAGTTTCCATACACCTGGTAGAACTAAAACAATTCCAACTTTTCATGAGGACAAACAAGACGGGTCTCTACTGTATGCGTCAAATAAATACACCCAGAGACATATATACGAGTCATATTCATATTTACCAAAAAATTCAAAATATTATATACTCCAACCCTAAATATTTAGTGCCACTGTCTGTATTTTTTGTCACATGTCATAGTTGCAGTGGACCACTTTCTGAAGTGTTCTTGAATGACAATAAGGGGTAGATGTAAATTTTCACAAAATGATTTTCAGAAATATTAATATTTTAAACCATAATAAATGTCTCTGAGTATTTTCAGTTAAATTATACACCATGAACATTAAGTTGAGATACAGTTTGTTTGACCTCATAAAGAAAAAGTTGGCAAAACAATTTCAAACAGCTAAAATTGAGGAAAAGTGTTTTTCTACGAAAGTGTATGTAAACTTTTGGCCCCATAGTTAGATCATTTCCATTACATTTCCATTTTCAAGGCACTTTCCATTGTCAAACAACTAGGCCTTCGACCAAAGAGAACAATGCGCATGGTTATGTGGACCGGTGAAGAAGTTGGCGGGGTAGGATCACTTCAGTACTATCAACGACACAAGGTACCAGACTAGCAGGGATTATCAGCGTAAAATAGGAACAGTTGTTTCCTAGAGGAAAGTTAGATGATTGATTGGTAAAACATGACGGAATATTACCCCCTCATTTGGCAAGGAAGAGAGAAGGTAATCAATGACTGCATCCAGATTCAATTGAACATTGTACATTCCTTTGATATGCCGTGCATAGGTTCAAGCAACTGAAAACAAAACAGTTTCCAAAACATGAAAAGTTTTGTGTGAAATGCCTAAGGTGTCTTATGGTTATGCCATTTCTTGAATCAAAACTTGTCAGCTATTTTGATGAGGGGTTCATTTCTTAGTCACAATAAGGAGAAAATAGGTCAAATACATGGTAATCAAGCGAGAGGGGCATTGGTCGCATACACTGCTCATACCAACATGTTTGTATAGGCCCCGCTCTTATGACTCAATGCAAAGTCAGCAATGTGAAATATAATCCAACTTTGCCGACTATCTGCCACTGTCTTTATGTCAGCCACAGTAGAATACTTCCATGTGACTGGGGACTGCATTTCAGCAACATTGTCTGCATCTCTTAACATTTGTTATTGAAACTATGACAGGCTTTAAAGGGCTTATTTGGATAAAGTGATAGTAGTGATGCAACATAATATAAGTTTGTGCCTGCAGGGCTCTTCGTTTTTAATAATACGGATGAACCAAAAGCTTGGAAACCAGGTCTGTATTGTCTGTCACGAACCATTCCATGCCCCATTTTTTTCATTTTCCCCCAAAACGTCTGGTGATTCTACAGGCAAATGCAAGCAATTATGATTTAGTGTTGGAATCAGATATGGGGACGTTCACACCATACGGGATAGAAATAAGAGGTAAGCACGCTTTCTTTCCTCAAGCTGCAGACGTGAGTGTTCTAAAGACAAATAGCACGTTTGAAGCAACATAGCAGAATTAGACATTTTGGGAACACACTCAATACATTCTATGCTCATGGTTATTGAGGAATCCAGGAAGTTCCTGGTTATAGCCCTGGGCACCTTAGTGCAATCCCATCCAAGAACTAGTGGGTAACGATTCAACGATTGTTAGATTACCCTCAATCAAATTGCATCTGACGATGGTTGAACTTGTCTTGTATCATAAGAACCAGTCCTCTAAAGTCCTTTTTTTCCCTGAATATGCCTTTCTTTCAAACTCGTCTAAGTGCCCCAGAATGTTTTGAAACAAACATTCCTTTTTTGGAAAAACATACCAACTTGCCCCACCAAACAAACATTTCATTTAAAATTTCCCTTTTCCAGGAAGTAATGAAACACTAGAAATTGTCAAGGGCATAGTGGAGCTTCTTGGACCAGTGAATGCAACCACATTCCGTAAGGGAGAGGACGGCTTGGATGTGTCCTACTGGGAGAAAGACGGGGTACCAGGGGGCAGCCTGCTGAACCACAACGAGCACTACTTCTGGTTCCATCATTCAGATGGTCAGTACATTGAAGTCCATGCACTGAGAGACTTTGGCCCACTTCGACAAGCAGCGTCGGCCACTGGTCAACTTTTAGCTGGTTACCTTGGTTTCCAGAATATTTCTTGGAAACCGGGCAAAATCAACCATAAGTTAACTCATGGTTTCTGACTGAATTTGGGCCTCAATGGGCATCAATGAGCTTGTGGCATTTCCTCTGAAGACACTCATGAATCCATGCTTACCATGCACACTGGTTACTTACATTAATTGCCATCATGACTGCGGTCAGTAACACTAACAGCAATGACAAACAACTCCGATCCTGTATGCATGGATTGCATAAAGTGAGAATATAATTCAATACAGTTTACTTCATCATCTGATCAGACCTCAGTGAAGGAACGGGCACCAATTTCATGGCTGCGTTCATCATGATGTCATCATGTTTTGAAAGCTTTAAAAGAACTTGAAAAGTTTGCACCGACTCTATGATGGAATGTACACCAGCAGAATTTCCTGCTAACCTGTAAAATGTACATGCGGAATCTAATACAACTGGCAAAGATTCATATCCGATGTTTCGCAGGGCCTTTAAATACGGCCAACGTCCCCTTCAGTTTAATGGATAGCATTTGGAAAATCTCAGAATGTGAGCAATATTGCAACACATGCGCTTATGTAGTACACATGTTCAAAGAACTACATTTTTTCTATTCTGGTTTTGTTTTTTTGAGCAGGGGACACAATGTCTGTCCAGGACCCTCATCAGATGGATCTGTGTGCTGCTGTCTGGACAGTGGTTTCCTACATCGTGGCAGACTTGGACAACATGCTCCCCAGAAAGTAAACATTGGTGGGGTCACATTAATGTGTCAGTGGCTGTGTTATCAACAACAAGTACATCTACTCAGAAAGCAAGAGCCATTCAGTTTGAGATAAGCAGGGAACTAAACAAGACTACAAGAGTTGAATTTAATCTCCTGCATTTCTTTGCCGGGTGATAGTTACAGTCAAGAATCATCTCAAAACTGGAATCAAAATGTGCCCCCCTCCCCTTTTGGAGGCAGAAAGAAATGGAATAAATATCCAACAGTAGGCCGATATGCCATGTTTTCCAAAGCAACTGAGGAAGATTAATGTCCCGTCTTCAAAGCACGCACAAACATCTGGTTTTCTGTTCATAGTTTTCTGTAAAATTTCAGTGTCCCACAGGCATATCAGCTAAGATCCTGCTTTCATGTCGGGCAACTATCAGTTTATGAAGGGCATTTTTTGGGGCGTGTCTGTGAAGCATTTGTGGTAGTTCTTTCTTATTATAGTGTTACTGATCAGGCCACTGGTAAACGTCACTTGCTGAAATATATTTTATAAATCACATCTATAAATTGTTCCCCAACTCATTTGCCCCATTTAAGAACAGCTTCAAGTGAAACATTTGAGCACCTTTTAAAAATATGAACTACTTTTCTCTAGAGTATTAATTCCGAGTGCAAAACATATTCTACAAATGCATCAGTTTTTGTGGATGGTTGCGTAAAGCTTTATTGTAAGAAAACATTTCTAACAATCTTGTCTATTTCATTTTTCCCTATGTAAACATTCTGCTTAAATCATTGAGAAACAGAAACAGAAAATTCATTGATACAGTGAGACAACTGCTGTACTTAGTTTGGCACCTTGGAGCAAATGAACAGCATTTGTTTTTCTCTACAGAAAACTCTGAATTACCCATGTATAAAGTAAACTTATCAAATGAAATTTAAAGAGAGGCTGTGTTCATCTCGGAGCTAGAGGTTGCCCTTTTTTGACAACTGTCTATACATGCAAGAAAATGCATATTTGAAACGCAGTTCGTGTGAAATATTAAGCAGCTGTGTACAGGAAAATTCTTTTGAAATAATCTTTGATCAAACTATTAAGTTCTGAAATAAGTTGAGAATGTAGTAGCAAATCTTTTAACAGAAATATTGGATATCAAGTGGAAAATTAAAGAGAAATAATCCTTCCAAAATGTGTGTGATGCCTTCTCACAAATGTTGTAAAGTCTCTTGAGTATGTTAACTTCCTCACGAGTTCATCATCCAGTCTAAAGTCCAAACCATTTAAAATGAACTACAACAACAGGGTTCGCTTTTTGGGGGGCCTTTGTTAGTTCTGTTACTGGTAACTGGCCTGTGATTTGTGATTTACTTTTGACCAGACCTATGATGGACATGAGTGAAAGACTTTACATTTCTGCTTCATAACTACGTATGATGGCACATGTAAATAACTTGCAAGCTTGCTCAGCAATGAAGTCCTTGTTTGTGAAATAATGGAATGGAAACCTAAAGTCTGGTATGCTATAATCAATGTACAACAATGTAGAAAGCATGGCCCAGATCCATGGATACCAATGTTATTTCTGTAAGTTTGTGTTTGCTAGTTGCATGTTGTATAAATGTCTTGGTTCCAAAAATGCTGTTTGAACAAAGCAGGATATGTGCGGTGACAATCTGAAATCTCTGTGCACCAGTTTTTCTTGGGTATTGAGAAGAATGCTCCAATTCCAACCTGGTTCAAAACAATTGCACCACATTCATTGATCAAAATTTCCCAGACGTTCCTGCCAAAAAGTGTCCTGAATCTGCCCAAATCCAACACTGCCTGGAAGACTGACAGCTTATTTGTTATACCCTGAAACAAAGCTGCCATATCCAGCCTCATGAGAAGTGAACGTGGTTGGCCCATGCACTCCAGAATCTATCAAAATACTATAGGCCAATGAAATAGTATTTTGAACCGGTCGGTATTTGGACCGGTCAGGATTACACACAGACATGGAACCATTGTTATTTATTAGTATCCTAGCGACGTATCACATGGCATCGCTATCACTGTCTGGATTGAAAACCTCGCTGATTTGTAGCCGGCCGACTGATGCCTCAGTTTGCCGTCGCTGAACCCCAACCTGTAAGTTTAAGGGATAAAAATAAAAGAAACTGATATGGAGTGTTGGACAGTACTACACACGTGAAGTCTTTTTAAGGACTCACTTCACATTTGAATATATTAATATTTTTGGCTGAACAATTCATTGATGTTGGACTTCGCTAAAACCAATCGAGTTGAAATTCCATGCAGTTCCTTTCCTGTAACCATTTCATGCTCGGATTATTTTTCAATAGCCAAGTACCATATTTCTGGTCCAAAAAGTTGAAATTTGCAAAAGATGAGATACATGTACAAAGCAAACTTTTAAAATAAAGTCAAACACTGAAAAATACTGACTTTTTTATGTACAAGTTTTCTAGAAAAATTGTCACTGTAATTTCATTTCTCTTCACATGAGGCCCTGCCACAGAGGTACAGTGTATATGTACAATGCAGACAATGAAAACCGGCTGAGTTCAACACATGGTCCACCTCCTCTGAGGCCTTGTTTGTGTGCAAAGTGAATGGAATGTTGATAGTTTAACCTGTCACTTACTGCTGTGGAAATACCCAGCCAGAGCACTGTCACATAGTCTCAGTGTACCTGTCATAGGAAAATGCAGGGTGGTTTACATGCCCTCCTGCATAATCCCATAACAATATATCAAACCTTCAAACTTATTTTAGTAGCCTGCTGTACATGTGAGGCCAATTTATGTCCCATAAATACTAAATACTGTTGACTCCAACAGTTAGAATAAATTTAGTCATTTCACAAGATCACTAGAATCCAATGGAAAGTGTCCACAGTCAGAACTTTTGGGGTTCCACCTTCCAATGCTCTTGAAAAATACACCTGGAGAGTTTGGCGGACTTTTGCAAGACTAAAGAAAGGTGTATGTAGAACCAACTCTACCAAAGGGCTTGATGCTTGTTAAAATGTCAAGTACATAAAATTTCTGAGCATACAGTGCTTATTAATATACGTTGGGTAAGGGCAAAACCTGTTATATATAATTAACATCTCCCCAACGCAAAAAAATACATCTTGAAAATACATAAAATTGGGTATCTACAGGGTTTACATTTTTGGCAAATGCTGAAAAGTTCAGAAATTGCAAAACTGCCTCTGGCCTAATGCTGGCAAAGAACCCCCAAAATTGAATGGGGACATCTGAATCTTGTGGAAAAAATCACACCTTCTGTCCATCAATTACATGTTGCTCCTTCTGCAACACCTTCTCAAGGTCATGTTCTGATGAGAAGCTTACAAAGGCAAAGCCTTTGGAGAACCCCGTCTTGGAATCCTGAATGAAAAAATGGGGGGGGGGAGGCTTTAAAAGTCCTAAAATCTCTGACAACAATCTGGAAAATAGTCTTGTGAGCCATAAGCACAGATACCAGAACAAGAGTGGAAATGGTTGGCTTTCTAGATCATGG